TCGGCCAGCTGCTGGCCCTTTGGGTTCCGTTGCCCTATTCCAAATTTCCCTACTTTCAGCTCACCGTTAACTCTTGTGCCTAGTTTTGCATTGAAGTCTCCCATTAACACCGTATATTGGGTTTTGGAGGAATGCATGGCTCTAGAGATATCCTCATACATTTCCTCCACCTCCCCATCGGGGTGTGCCGAGGTTGGTGCGTAAACCTGTATGACCTTCAGCGAATACCGTTTGGTGATTCTGAGTATAAGGTACGCAACCCTCGTCGACACACTCCCGATCTTTACAACGTTGTTAACGAGAGACTTGTGGACGATAAATCCGACACCTCCTTGGGACAGATGGTCGCCCTCCCGGTGATAGAGCAAGTTGCCGGATTCGAGGATTACCGTGTCCTCCCCCTCTCTTCGGACTTCGGATAATCCTATAATATGCCAGCGCAACTTGTCTATCTCTTCTTCCAGCTCCACGATCTTCTCGTCAGTCCTCAGGGTGCGTGCGTTGTACGTTGCCAGGTCGAGTCGTCTAAGGTGGCAACCGAACCTCCACCGGAGATTCTTAGCACCCCCTGCCCCGCCGTTACCATGGTCGCCACCGTAGCCAGGAATAGCGGGGCCGCCGGGGACTGGGGGTCGTCTCTTTGTTACATTCATAAGGGGGTATTTGCCATAGTTGCCACGCTTGGCGAGCGGGTTGGCAACCGCAGTTTTTTATTATAATTTTGGCTATTATCAGGAAGATGCTGCTGCCCATCTCCTGCCTGTTTCCCTTTGTCGCCTTTTACGACACCCACGGGAGGATATGGGGTAGTGGTATTCTTGACCGCCACTACACGGTAACCGCCACTACACGGTATACATAAACTTAGATATCAAAAATTATTTAATACATGCATAATATTATATATAAATTATGTACTTATAAATTAAATAAATTACATATGTTATATAATTATATATTTATATAAATATATAAATAAAAACTTTTGGAAAATCCAAATGTACATGCCTAAAGCAATCGTGTTATACGTTATTTTTAGTTTTCACAAATAACCTTTTTTTTATTATTATTTTTGATTTTTAAACAAAATTACCCCCACACTAGGATCTTCTCCTGTATCGTGGAGGCAGTTTACATACATAAATTGCACAAGGACAAACATCCAGACCCGGAACAATTATTTGTAGGCCATACGGCGGGATTCGAACCCGCGGCCCCCAGCGCTGCAACTCATTGCTAAGCCACTGCGCCACGAACCTTGTTACTTAAAATTAATAAACCTAAGGAGAAACAGCTATACATACACACAAGGTCTTTAGAACAAATTAATCAAAATGAATTTTTAGCTCATCTGGAAAACCTGTCTTGGTATGATACTGTAATTGAAAATAATATCCACAAAAAAGTTCAACGGTTTAGTAGTATGTTGCTTGACGCTTTTGAAATACATGCACCTTTAAAGTTAATTAGGCTAAAACGAAAACCAACACCATGGATTACAGACAATATAAAATTAATGATGACACTCCGCGACTCTGCTCATAATCGTGCCAATACTTCAGGAAAGGATTCGCACAATGACTATGATAAAAGTCTCAGAAACTTAGTAAACAGCGCAATCAATAGAGAAAAGTCAGCTTATTTTACGTTTTTTATTAACAAAAATCAGGGTAATCCAAAAACTATGTGGAGCCATCTGAAGCGAGTATCGCCCGTGGGGAACCAATCAGGACAAATATGCGTACCATCACACCTCTGTAACCCCGATACTATTAATAACTATTTTATAGAAGTGCCAGGAGATAATGAAATAAATAAAAGTACTTTTAATTACTTCAATACCAACCGATTAAATAACACTGAATTTAATATAACAACCTCAACAGAATCTGAGGTTTATAAAGTAATTACAGCAATTGGAACTAAAGCCAGTGGACACGATTTAATTAATATAGATATGGTTCGTATATCTTTACCGGTAACATTACCTATAATAACAGGAATAATAAACGAATCCATTAATACTAAGATCTTTCCAGATACTTGGAAACTGGCCAAAATTAAACCTATTCCTAAGAGTCCAAATGTACAGGAAATTAATAACCTTAGACCAATCAGCATTTTACCTACACTTTCCAAGATATTGGAGAGGGTAGTATGTTCACAGCTAACGAGATATCTAGAAGATAATCATATTTTACCAGAAACACAATCCGGGTTTCGTCGAGGGTATGGTACGGAAACAGCTCTGCTGCACGTCACGGATGATATAACTACAGCTTCTGATAAAGGTAAGGGTAGTATATTGGTGCTATTGGATTTTACTAGAGCTTTCGACTGCATAAACCATGATATACTTCTGGCAAAACTGTCATACTACGGAGTATCGGAGGCAACATGTAAATGGTTTTACTCATTCTTATCAAATAGAAGTCAATATGTTGAAATTAACACTGACCAAGGGGAAGTAATGCAATCAAGTATAAGAAGAACATCCAGAGGCACTCCGCAAGGATCTATCTTAAGTCCTATTCTATTCATACTGTTTACAGCGGATATTAGCAAAGTATTAAAACATTCTAAAATACATCTGTATGCCGACGATACTCAAATTTATCATTCGTTCAAGCCAGAACAGACGGAAAATGCAGTCATGAAATTAAATGAAGATTTGTCGGCAATCCTCCAATGGGCAAAAAAAAATGGTCTAACACTTAATCCCTTAAAATCAAAATATATGGTGCTAGGAAGTAAAACACAATGTAAAAAAATATTAAGTAAGAAACCGGAAATACTCATCAACAATATAAAGGTACTAAGAGTGGATCATACTAATAACCTTGGTCTTACCCTCGATAGCCAACTACGCTTTAATGAACATGTAAATATTAAAATACGTAATGCTTTTTATCGTTTAAAGGTTTTATATAGCATAAGAAAATACTTAACAGTAACGATCAGGAAGACCTTAGTTGAGTCGTTAGTGTTATCACATTTTAATTACTGCGATACCGTCTATGGCCCACGACTGTATGCAAAAACAAAAAAGGCAATTCAACGCGTGCAAAACGCATGTACTCGTTTTTGCTATAACGTCCCAAAGAGAGCTCACATTACTCCATATATTAATGAAAATAATATTTTAAAAATGGACGCACGTAGGAAACTCCACTTGGTTTGCTTAGTCCACAAAATTATTAGTAACAAAAGTCCACTGTATTTATACAATAAATTCGATTGGAGTAAAAATGCTCATGAAGTAAATACACGTAAAAGACTCTCAAACATGCTGAATATTCCATGCCATAAGACTAAAAACTTTAGGGGATGTTTTAAATATTCGGCCGCAAAAATATGGAATGATTTGCCACCACCCTTAAAAGATAATTTTAATATTACATTTGCAACATTTAAAAAAAAGGTTAAAAAGGAGTTATTACATAAACAGAAGTCTTTTTAGGCCGAATAACTGTATGTTTATTCTGTAATAAAGTTTTTTTTTCATCTAACACATATTGACTGTAAAGAGGTTTACCAGCAATACATAATTAAATAAGATGTGCGTGCGACCAAAATATACTCACAACAGCAGGGACTGGCTGAAAAACAGTGCTGAGCATAATGCCCAGCGAATACTGAGCCTGTGCCCGTTGCCTCACATTATAATCGTAAACTGAGTAATATTAGTTAATCTGTTAATTGTGAATGTTCATTTTTTTATAAAAATTTTAAGTCTAATAATTTTTATGTGTATACTTACTTTGTAAACTTTTCATTTGTAAACTTATTATTGTGTGGCAATAAATATTTATTATTATTATTATTATTATTATTACTATACTTCCGATTTTCCGATAATTTTATGTCAAACGTCAATATAAAAAAAAGTTTGGAAAATCCAAAAGTGAAAGACTTGCTCATCTCTCTCTTCCTGGCTATGTGTCCCACATGGTGGTGGGGTCAGCCTTTCTTGTCTTACGCCTCCACTTCGCTCTATCCTCGACTTCATTTTCGGAGACTTCGCACTCTCTCATGTCCTTTACCACTACATCTTTCCATCGTGTTTTGGGTCTGCCCCTGGATCTTCGACCTGGGATGGAGAGTTGTAGTGCCAAGTTCCCTACGTAGTCGGGTGGCCTCCTCTTCACGTGCCCATACCATCGCAGCCTACTTTCCTGCATCTTGTCAGCGATGTCGCGCACGCCCAAGCTTCCTCGCACGTACTCGTTGCGGATTTTGTCGCACTTGGTAACGCCGCACATCCACCTCAGCATCTTCATCTCAGCAACTTGCATGGTATGCACATTCTTTTGAGTTACGGCCCATGTTTCACTGCCATACAATAGGACTGGTCTGATGATGGTCTTATAGATTAAACCTTTAAGTTTGACCGGCATTCTCCTATCGCACGTGACACCAGTCACTTCTCGCCACTTTAGCCACGCTGCGGCTATTCGGTGCTGAATGTTAATTTCCAAGTCCCCAGAACCGCTCATCATACTACCCAGATACTTGTATTGACCACACGAGTTCACCAATTGTCCATCGATGGAAATCGGACTGTTGTTTGTATCTGGGTCGTTGAAGGACATGAACTGAGTCTTTGCCACACTCAGCACTAGGCCACCGGTCTGTAACTGATGTTTCCACGACACGAGTGCCTCTTGCAAGTGAGCGCGGCTGTCTGTGCAGATGGCTACGTCGTCAGCGTATATAAATGTCCACGTTGCTGAATTCTGTGCCGCTTCGGTGAGTGAGTCCAGAACCAAACAAAACAGAAAAGGGCTCAATACAGAACCTTGGTGCACTCCTTCTGTGACCGCTATCGACCTGGTCTCACCCACCACCGTCCGAACCATTGATCTCGCATCTCTGTACATGTCGGCAATGATGTTAACGTAGTGTTCGGGGACATTTTTCTTTCGAAGGCTCCACCAGATCGTATCCCTTGGGACACGGTCAAACGCCTTTTCCATGTCCAAAAATGCGACATGTAATGGTCAGTTTTTCGCGCGATACTCTTCGACAATCGTGTTAAGAGCAAACATCGGATCCGTGGTAGACAATCCAGGTACGAAGCCATAGTGGTTCTTAGACAGCTCGCACTCGGATCTTATGCGGCTGTCAATTACCCTCTCATAGAGCTTCATGGTGTGACTGAGGAGCTTGATTCCGCGGTAGTTGTTGCACTCGTACTTACTACCTTTTCCCTTGTAGATGGGAACTATAGTGCTCAATCTCCACGCCTTTGGCATTTTTGAAGAGAACAACATACAGTTAAAGAAATCGGTTAGCAGCACGAGTCCGCGTGGACCTAAGCATTTCCAAGCTTCCACTGGTATTCCGTCAGGTCCAATGGCTTTCTTGTTGGACATTTTGTGTAGGGCTTTCTTTACCTCATCAGGGTGTATTGGAGGTATAAGTCCTGCATTCACTTCCACTCCAGGAAGTTGTGTGGCAGCTAGATGGGGTAGGGATAGTAGCTGTTCGTAGTAATGATGCCAAGCTGTTATGACATCATGGTCTTTATATAACAAGTCACCATTTGGACCTTTGACAGTTTTACACCTGGCCGGATCCTTTGTGCTTTGACAACGCTATTTTGCTAGCTTATATATACACTTTTGGCCTTCTTTTGTGCTTAATTTACTATAAAGCGTTTTCTGGGACTGCGCACGTTCTATGGCTATAACTTTCTTGGTAACTTTTTTAACTGCTTTGTACTTTTCCCGATCTTCTGGGGTTAAAGTGGACTGCCAGGTCATAAAAGCATTTTTCTTTTCCCGTATTGCATCTTGCACCTTCTCTGTCCACCACCACGTCTCTCTGTCGGATTTTTTACCGCTTTTTGTACGGCCAAGAATGTTGTTTGCAGAAGTTATAATGGACTTACGTAAATGTTCCCATATGGTGTCAATATCTGATTTAACATCAACCTTTAAATCAGCAAGACGTTCACAGAACTCGGGAATTTTCTCACCTTTTAGGTTCCACCATTTGGTGAGTTCAGGAATTTGAGTTGGTTTTTCCTTGGGATGTCGTTTGAATAGCACGTCCATTACAACAATACGGTGTTGGGGGGCGATGCATTCTCCCGGAATAACCTTACAATTTGTTACACGGCCAATGTGAGCTCGGTTGATTAGTATGTAGTCAATCTGTGAAGATGTTTGGCCGCTTTTATACGTGATCAGATGTTCGATCTTTTTAGCGAAGAAGGAATTGGCAATAGCAAGATCGAAGGCTGCTGCCGTGGAGAGAATGACTTTACCAGCATCGTTTAGTGTTCCGTATGCGTAACCTCCGTGCACCTTTTGAAAGCGCTGTTTGCTTCTCCGATGTGGCCGTTTAAATCACCTCCCAGTAAAGTAGTTTCTTTAGGAGATATTGATTGAAGAGTGTATTCTAGGGAAGTCCAAAAATTGTCTTTCTCTGCTTGGCTACAACCCACTTGGGGAGCATATGCAGCTACAATATTTAGTACCTCACCAGTACCTTTATTGACATGAGTCTGTCGTTAATACGGTTGACCTCCAGGATGTTTTCAAAATGATCTTCTTTGACAGCAATTGCTACGCCATTCCTACCATGCTTTGCACCTACGTACATAAGTTTGTAGCCCTCTCCGATATTACGGGCTTTGGATCCAGTCCATCGAGTCTCTTGTAGACATATAAAATCTACCCTTCTGCGCTTGAAAAGAGAGGCAAGTTCCTTAGTCTTCCCCGTTAATGTTCCTACATTTAAGGTAGCGAAGCGGACTTTTAGGTTACGATTTGGGACTAACGTCGTTAGCCGAGCCCGTCCTTGACTCGGTAGCCCTAGCATACTATTCGCAGTTTTAGGGCGATGTGACTGCGCGTCGTTTCGCGGCGACGCCCTATCCGTGAAACTCAATCCATTACGTAACCTTTCCATGTTTCTTTTCTAAAGATTTGGCTTTTGGGGTTTATTAGTCTATTGCCGATTGCCATCTGACGCAAAAACACCTACCCGCTCAAGGTAGGGAAACCCGTTATGGAGGTGTTGTATCCAGTATACAGGGTATTTCTACCTGTATGAAGCGCTGTCTGGTTATCCCGCCAGACGTCGGTCGCCAGAGCCCCGTCCGTAGGTCAGCAGAGTGTACCACGTGCAGGTGGGGCTGGCGTTTGGGCTGGTAAAGGTGTTGTTTCCAGCCCCTTACACTCTGAAAGACTTGCTCATATGATCGTGAAAAAATATTTAAAGAAAATTGTTAATTGTAGTTTATTCGCCAAAGTGTTCCAGTAGCAGACACCAAAGTACACCTTCAAGTCACTCCGTAGGTAAGGTCTTATCATATCTAACAAACGGATCAAAAACTTGACTCGCCTAGTTTTACTGGTCGAGGAGTTCCAGCAGCACCCATCGAAGTACACCTTCAGGTAACTCTATCAAGTCCGGAAGTAAGTTTTCATCATAACTAACAAAATGAGTCCAAATTTCGCACACCTAGTTCTACTCGTCGAAGAGTTCCAGTAGCATTCATCGAAGTACACCTTCGGTCACTTCTCAAGTCCGGAGGAAAGGTGTCAAGATAACTATCAAAATGAGGCCAAACTCAGCACACCTATTTATACTCGTCGAGGAGTTCCAGTAGCAGTCAACGAAGTAAACCTTCAGGTCATTCCATCAAGTCCGGAGGTAAGGTCTCATCATAACTAACAAAATAAGCAAACTCGGCACACCTAGTTCTACGCGTCAAGGAGTTCCAGTAGCATTCACCGAAGTACACCTTCGGTCACTTCTCAAGTCCGGAGGAAAGGTGTCAAGATAATTATCAAAACGAGTCTAAACTGAGCATACCTATTTCTACTCGTCGAGGAGTTCCAGTAGTTACTTCATAAAGTCCAAGATGTATTTAAGTATATTTAAGTAAATACAGTAATGAAACCACAAGTAATACAAATTAAAAAATATAAACAAAAAATTAAATTAAAAACTGTAAATTAATAAAGTAACATTTTCAAACAAAATAAGTAGGTATTAAAATAAATTCAGTAAAAGTAAAGGTTTTGTTTAGACTACGTGTCTAGTCAAGTTATGCAGGGGCCGGAGGACGTTTTAAAAATACTAATTTTATTAATTAAAAGATGTTTAATCGCTACAAGAACTCGCTTAAGACTAACTTAACATTCTATGCTTAAAAACTAATGCATGAGAGCCCACACAGGAGCTTGGTAGTTTCCATTTATCCACGCAGCACATGCCTGTGGTTGCGGACCACAGGCATGTACATAAGAATATTCTGCTGATGCGGACATCTTGGTGGGTCTCGCCACCCGTAACACCTGCCTCCTCAAGTACGAAGTTCACGTGTACAGGAGAACTTCGGATACAAATATAAACAAATTTAAATGATACTTATAAACTAAGACAGGTTACAATAATGAATAACAGTCCATACAATAAAATAATCCATTGGCTAACACTTTTAATCACCACAATTGCCTTTTCACTTTCACGTTTTTAATTTCACTTTTTCTTAATGCAACTGACAGAAGTTTGAGGTCCGTAAGATCTATACCTTCTAGGTTCAACTGCACCGGGGATGACATCTCGAGGGATGAGTTTATTGCAAGTAGGTTAATCATAAGTAATATAGGGGGTGAAATGCTTTCAATTTCCACAGGGTTACTTGTTAGGTTAATATCATTGATTTTGGCTGCACGGTTATCGTCCAATGTTAAGATAAATGTGCCATGAATTTTCCGCCTTGTTATTTCATTATTACAAATCTCGGAGAGTGAAGTAGACTCCTTGGTGTAGATAATCCATCTGTGCACCCTTACAGCTTCCAAAATGACTGGAACTTGGATGCATGAGGATATATTTTCAGCATAAGTCATCAGTTCTGTGATGCACTCGTCCTTAATTAGTTGGGATGTGTCATCCTTAGGACAGAGGTAACTGTATTCATCGGCTTCCTCACAGGGATGAGTAAGTAGTCTAATATTCGACCCTTTCACTAAAAGGTACGGGCATTTTTTTTAAATGACAGTGGTACGGTTATGGGATAGTACAGGTAAGGGATAGAGCTTATAATAAATATTAAATGTCCTTAGTGACGAGAGGTATTTCCAAAAGATAAGTTATCCTTTTAAATGAGCTTTTACTATTATAGTTCGCTCTATTTTAACTAAATTTTCTAATGTAGGAGTGTATAATAGATTCGCCAATCTACCAATTTTTTCAATAGATTCTACTTGTGTATTAACATCTACAAAGTTATATGAAAAATTCTTATTTAAATTATTAACTATCTTATTTAATTCGGAAAACCTCAGTACATTGACTTTTACATCCTCTATGAATAGTTTGAGGTCTATTATTTTGGCTATGATCGATTTATCGTTACTGATGACGGCAGTTCCTCGCTTCACGGGCAGTATTTCAGGATTGCTATTTAACTCCTGAAGTTGAAGGGCCTGGAGGCGTGTCACCATGGCTATTACCAGGACGAGCAGGAGGTGCCTGTGAAAAGAGTTTTTCATTCTTTAGAGGAACTTTACTATCACGTCCTTTAATATTTAATATTTCTACTAATGGTGTCGGTTACTAGGGCCTTTTGAAAACGTGGCTTATCTTTACTACACCTTTTATTAGTACATTTTGCATAGTGTCTCCGGGTTCTATCTTAAATTCCGTTTCTCCACCTCTCTTTTCAATAATCCTTTCTATCTTTTGTATGGCTTGTTCTGTTAGATGTTTATAAAGATATTTAGTACGCTTTGGGTGTTATTTAACTAACTGTTGTAATTATCTTTTGAAAATCTACGTCAAAGGGATGTCGTGAGTCTGTATGTCCTAAATAAAACTTCAAAAGGTGTTAAGCCTGTGGTAGAGTGTATGCTATGATAGTAGCCCATTACTGCGTATGTCATTATGGAAGAGGCATCTGTAACTGTATATTTGTGTTCATGCTTTGCCAATCCCATAGAGTTAGGGTTGTTAGTGGTACCAATATGAAGTTCTATTTTATAAAATGAAAGTAATTCTATAAGTAACGGATCTGAATTTATTTTTTGGGGGACACCGTAAAAAGAAAAATATTTAAGAAGAGCTCTGACCACTTCGGGCGTTGACCTATTAATTATTTCAAAGGCCTGTCCTAATTTGCTAAAGGCATCTATTATTGTTAAGTAATAGTGACCTTCGACTTTAAAAAGATCTATGAAAATTTTTGAGTTTAGGTTTCATGGGGTTCCGATCATATTTCATACTTTCACATGCGTCACGTGAATTTATGACGCTATGTAATGATTTCTTATATTTACGCGAACACTACACATTGAATAAAACTATTTTTACGGATTTTATCGCGTTTAATTAACTTATTTTTATATTCCCGACGTTTCGGTTGCTTTCCAGCAACCGTGGTCACGGGGGACTGAGGTGATTGACGTCCCGATGTCAAAGTTAACCCGGAGTACCTTCAGCTTTTTAATTATTACTATTTTCACGTATACGACCCATGTGCATTCAAAAATTGTACAAGTTCCTTTTTAAACAAGAGAATTACTAATTCCGAGAATTGTTTACGATGTTCTTCATTTTCAAAGTAAATTAAGTATTTAGTTTTATTCCTAGTGTATTCTTTCAGAAATTGCTTTACTAAATCTGATCGGTTTGAAGGTAAGTGTACTTCTGAGATTCTTTGTTTTTCCCTAGACAAGTTTTTCACAGATAATTTGTCCATGTTCCAGCTGATCACTAAAATTTGGTTGGGTTTGGTGTCGATCCCTTCCTGTAAGATTGGAATTCCCTGTGACTCAGTGTCTAGTCCTGAATGTGCGGTTTCTATACTAGAGGGTTTTTCAGAGGCGGTAAATGTGCTACTAGAAGCGTACAGTATGGAATAATCGGATTTAATTGATAAGGTTTTATCTGAGTCTGTATCTTCTATAACAATAGCCTTCTCAGAGTCTGTGTCTGAAATACGTAGATCACTCAATAAGTTTTGAGATGCTCGAAATTTAAAAATGGAACGCACCCGTGTTATATGTTTCTAAAAAGCAAATTTATTTAAAAATAGAACTCCATAAGCCAATGAGGGCTAAAAATCTTCCGCTCACCAGATGTCGCTTGTTGTGACTGAGGTAAAGTTTTTCGTTACATAGTGTCAGTTAATTAAGAAATTAGTTTTATATAATAGTTTATCATTATCTAGAGTATTATATTAATATACAACAAAATGCGTCAGTGGTTTGATTTTTAATTTTTTGCACTTTATAACTCTTTTTTTAATTTATCTACTTTAAGTTATATTTATAGTTTAGTTTATTCATTTCTAATGTAATTAATAAAAAATATAATTAACAATACGGAAAGAAACCTTAAATATTACATTTTCCTAAGAAATTATCGTCCCCGCTATAAAATCTGTCAAATATTTTACCTCACTGTAACGTGGCGCCGCCCTGGTGGCAGAAAAAGTTGTGGATGCCCTCATTGCTCAATATTAAAAAAAAAAACAAAGTTGTATTAATTTCCTGCAACGCTTCCCGCGCTTTTCATTTAAAACGATGGATCTGATATTATGATTTTAAATTTGGTTTAACCGAACAATTAAGTTTACAACGGTTATAATTAGCATTAGGGGATTCAGCTCCATCACGCGCATCATTTTTAGGTGGTTTGCTGAATTCAAAAGGGGTAAAATTAAAGCAGAGGCAGAAAATGTATGGACTACTGAAATGTTGGTGCGAGAAAACCCATGCATCACATACCCGGACATCGAAAAGATTGTAGGCATTAACTCGAGGAGCATTCATACTATCCTACATGAACATCTTGGAGTGAGGAAGCTTTGTTATCGATGGATCCCTCGTTTGCTCTCCGAAAGCGAAAAACAGACTCCTATGGATTGATGCCATGAAATGCGTCTACGTTTTGAAAACAGAGCATCTAGGCGTGTTTCAGAAATCGTTACTGGTGACGAGACATGGATCTATCAATATGATCCGGAAAATAAAAGACAATCATCGGTATGAGTCTACTTAGAAGGACAGTTACCGACAAAACTGCAAAGACCTCACAACGTCGGTAAAAAAATGGTAGCTAATTTTTTCGCGGAGCGGACATTTGTCGACGTTAATGCTGGAAAATTGTAGGTCATTCAACTTTGAATGGTATACTACAGTTGCATTACCCAAAGCTTTTCAAGCTGTGCGGGAGGGAAGACCAAAGACCGGGCTCCGGGGAATCATGCTGCATCACAATAACGCCTCTTCACATACCTCCCTTAGCACAAAAGCATTTATTGAGGAATCTGGTGTTAAAACTCTAAGTCACCCGCCTTACAGCCCTGACTTAGCTCCTTGTGATTTCTTTTTGTTCCCAAGAATCAAACAAAAAATAAAAGGCAAGTTTTTTTCAAGCGCCGAAGAAGCCGTGGCTGCCTACGTAGAAGCGATTTCCGACCTGTCAGATCAAGACTGGCAAAAACGTTTTCAGAGTTGGTTTAGGCGAATGGAACTTTGTATAGAGCATGATGGAGAATATTTTGAAAGGATGTAAAATAAATATTAATAGCATCTAGAATACTTTTTGCATATCTCAATACTTATTGAGTAACCTACGTAGACATAGATTCCGGAGGTAGTGGTCTAAATGTAATATTTTGCAATTCATCTAAATCTTTAATATATTTTATTAAGTCCTGAATTTCCTCGTTTATTCTTCGTGTTTCTCTATATTTGCATGAGTGGAAGAAATTTCCTTTTTATTTAAGGCATTAATTCTAATTCTGTTTTAACTATTCAGCTTGTTTGTATGTATGTAACCGATTTCATTCAATAAAAAAGTAATTATTTTAATTAAAAGTATTTTTTTATTAATTATGAACTTTAAGAATAATGCCATTAAATATTTAAGGAAAAAAATCGTTCCCTAATAGTGGATAATAGGGGTGAACTTTTTATAGTAATTATTTGGACGACATTCAAGGAAAATTAAAATTAAAAAAACGACTTCAAAAACTAAAAGGAATAACATTAAACTCCATAGTTTTTAGAGTCGGTGCTTGAAATTCTTCGATACAATATATCTTAGCGTAGATTTCAAAATCGAATACTTAAATAATTGGAAATTAAGTCTTTAACTTTTATTTATTAAAAGTTAGATTTTTGATTGGGACTTATGACTAAAAATGTACAAGAAGTGTACATTCAGATTTTAGAAAATATTTAGGTATTTCTGTACTATTTGGTGTGTTGTTTTGATAGTAAAAAAAACTTACGGAAATATTATAAAATTTAATCATTAGCAAACAAACATAAAATTATGTAGCATTCTATTTTTAACCGAGTCCGAAAAACAAGGTTTTATATTCGATGCGTTGTTTTTAATGTATGTACACTGAATAAAGTAATACCTTTTTATTAAATAGTTTATATCTCAGGGATGGCCTCATAAAAATCTTTTCCCTAGGGTGGGAAAATAGGAGATGAAGATTTTAATTTCATAAATTCTATTTCTTATTGTTACCTTGAATAAAAATCACAATCATAATTCCTTAGACCACCCTGAAGGGTAAAGTTATTAAACTTTATAAGTAAAAAGTACAAACCGATCTTTTTATATATAGTATCATTGATTCACACTGTCTTACCGACTTCAAAATCTACTATATGGAATTTTTTATTAAATTTGTTTCAAGAAGGTTTATACTTTTTATCAAAAGTTTAATTATTCAAGACTAGCTTTTTACCCGCGGCTTCGCTCGCGTGCTCTTAAATTTGGGAACATCATTAAATGCTGTTCCTGCCAAATTTAGAAAAATTCGAGCACTTTTAGAGTCACCTCGGTGTCTGTGTCTCTGTCGGTCCAAGTTTTTTCTTCATTCTAAAATACTATTAGACGTAGATGATTGGTAACATGCTACAGAAACACGTGAAACGTGAATATATATGTCTAGAAACACCTATCATTTTTTATATCGGGCGTGTCTTCTGATGTATCCATAAGAAAGGTAAATAGACTTGAAATCAAAAGGTATTATTATTATTTACATTTTACTCTTTACCTTTAATCCTAGTTAAAGTTAATTTAGTTATAACAAAGTAATATAATGTTTATTTGAGACGTTTTATTCATATCATTGGTCCTATTGTCCATAGGTCTATATTTGATTGGCACCATAAAATAGATGTAGATATTTTTTTTACTTCGAGTAGACGTAGAAAATTTCCTAAATACAGTTCTATAATAATGAATACTCCACATGAATTAAAACTAATGTTACGGGTTTTTTACGCACCGTGGGTGAAAGTTCCGAGTAAAAGAACATATCGTTGATTTGAAGCACCGAAGCTCCAGGAAGTCTAAAGTATGTCGACATGTTAACATGTGTCGTTCCAACCATTATATTGGACCTGATAGACAACAAATCCTTGCAATAGAACACCGAATTGAAATTAAAAATATCCCAATTTTAATAGGGAAGATGGCTGAGTGCTACCATCTGCTAAGGA